GACTTTGAGAATGAATCGGATCCAATAAAAGTTGTTCGTGAAAAAAGCCGAAACAAAAAGATGGCCGCCCTTTTTTTAATTACTGGGCATGTTTCCACTGCAGCATTGGAGGATAGACGTACTGTTAATTTAGAATGGTATACAACATATTGCTTGGTCAGGATCTCCAAAAGGTTCGCGAAAAACGTCTAAGAAGGATCATCTTGTGTCAAGAGATAACACTCGGGATCACGCTGTGTATTTGAATGCCCAAAACATAGAAATAATAGGTAATTCGCCGTATAGTCCAAACCTAGTACCCAATAATTTCTTATTTCCGCGGGTAAAGGATAAATTACGGGGTTTTACATTTTACATCGGCCGAAGAAGCGGTTAATACCTTTAAAAATTAAATTAACAAATTACGGCTAGAAGATTGAAAAAAAATGTTTTGAAAAATTATTTTGCGGATGTAAAAATGCATTGACTCTGAAGGAGAATACTTTAAAAAATTATAAATAAATATATTTTTTTTGTAAATATGTATACTGCTTCACTTTACTATAGGCACAATGGAAAGAGAACGGCCTCGAACAAGTTGAGCAGTACGGCGACGTAAACTGTTCCAGTATGTTTTTGCACTAAGGGTTTAAACAACTCATAAATAACGACACTGTTAGCAACTCATCCATGTTTATTTTATTATTTTGAGTATTGTTTTATTATTTTTAATTTACTATATGACGGCAACACACAGAACTGGGCAGTACTCTAGTAAATTGTACTCGAGTACTCATCAAAGTACTCAGTAATTGGTTCTTTCATCCTGATGGGTTTCATATTCAAAACATTTCGAGTACTTTATATTTTAGAATACGCAGTACTTTTTATTTATTCAGCTAACGAGTACCGGCGCGTACATATATATTATAATGATTTCACCTTTGAAAGGTTAAATCATTCCAATATTCTAGAGTTTATAGGGTTATGACTCCTTTGGCTTCTCAGAAAAATCTCAAAAAAATAATAATAAATGTTGAATTTGAAAAAAAATCTAAACCTTTCGCTTCGCTTCTTTTTTCTTGCTCCCTGTTCTTCTGCTTTCTGCTCTAACTCCTGACTTTCTGAACCCACGATGAGACAAACATAATAAGCAGTATTAAGTCTGCTTATTTTTAACTTCTTAGTCCATTATATTATTTATTGCAACTACTTCCGTAATATTATCTGAAACTAGGCGACTTAATATTTTGTGTAGAATGTAAACTTTGGTTGGCAATTTGCATTTTATTTGATAGACTGTCATAAATTAATTGGTGATAATTTTATACTGAATCGGTTAGTATACGGTGCAAGTCAAAAGTAAGAAAACATTCTATAAAAGAGAAAGTATTGATTTCTGGAAAAATTACAAAGACAGGTCAATATTGTTTTTAAATTCTACACTTTTTGTCATAATATTCGGATATGCATGTAAATGTATATTATCGGATTTTTTTAAGCAACTCCTAATATGTTAGTTATCTTGCATAAAGCCTTTTTTTTTTGAGAAAAATAGTGAAGACGAGAAAATTAATTCTTTGTATTAGTATTATTATTACATAAATGCATCCGAATACTATGTCAAAAAGTGCGGATTTTAAAAAACAAAATTGACTTGTTTTGGAATTTTTCCAAAAATCAATATCTTTTATCAAATGTATTCTTTACTTTTTACTCGCACTGTAATATAATTTTATTTAATCACAATCATTTATACCCAGAGTCGGCTACTGACCGTTTTCCAATACGTTTTGCACAAATGCATGTGAAAACTACAGAGAGTTAGCATTAGAGTGAGCAGGAAATAATAATATCAGCGTTGCTAGTTTATACGGCCCGGTCGCGTTGTAACGTTGGCCGGGCAGTATAAACCTGCAAAAATCGTATTGTTTCCTGCTCGCCCTAATGCTAATTCTCTGTAGATTTCACATGCACTTGTGCAAAGTCTATTGGAAAGCATTCGATAGTCGATACTGTATACAATATGTTAACCAACGCCCCATTATATTTAGACGTGAAAAATATAAAGACAGTAGGTTTCGATTCGCCTATCTGCCTGTCGTAAATGGACGCATAGTTACAACTCTACCGGTAGTGGGATAGCAAGTATGCTCTATTTCTGTATATACAATAGCATTGGTTTTCTATACCGTTCTTTGGAGAAACGTTTGAAAAGTTAACATATTGTATATTAACAACTCAATTTAAAACCTTTTAATTAAAGTCTGAAAGCAGGCTACTACGAGTTTTAGTTTCCTTCCACAAGTAAGCAGTTACTTTTAAATGTGGAGGACGAATTCTCTATACCTATCATAACAACACAAGTCGGACCATAGAAAGTATCACAAATTGTCCAAAACCGAGAGAACTATTTGTGCTATATATTTTTTAAATAATTCATCATACTTGATTTTTCTTATCATACTTTTTTTTAAATAACAAAAAAGCATGCCTAAATGTCAAAGTGTGTTGTTTTCAAAGCCAACTTAGAGAATTTTATTTAATATACATAGCAGCTGCAGCATCGTTTCTCGAGTTTGTTCGGATTATTAGATTCTAACTGTCAAGAGGTACTTCAAAAATGCAGAAATAGAGGGATGCGAATTATTTTGAAATGTAATAGGTATTCATCTATTATCATTATTATTACTACAATGCATTCCCCATTAGATTAATTATTGTCAGTGAAGGAGATACTATTTATGTTCTGTTATTTATATACCAACAAAATCTTGACCCCCAGAAACTCAAAAACAAATTAATTTTTCAAAACTTAAAAAAATACGTCAACTTTTATTGGCAAAACGAAGAATTATAATCTAAAATTCTTACCCGGAAATCCAACTTCCTGGAGCCCGGCATCAACCTACTATTTTTTCTGAAATAGCAAGTCTGATCAAGTAACACATCATTTGCAAGGTATTTTTTCCATCTGCAGATCTTGCAGAGCTGCGAAAGATAATTTTTACCGAATGCCGTTTATTTAAAGCCGGCTACTCACTACGCGTTACTTGCCAAGTACTTTGCAAGTACCATGTAATGTGTATGGAGACTTGTATAGACTCAGCAAGTTACTTGTACTTCCCGACGGTTGTCGGTAAACGGACCGAAGTCAAAGGATCCGAGTAAAGTTACTACTACTACTTTAGATGGCGCGCGTAATGTAGACGATTTACTTGTACTCGAACAAGTACTTGCCAAGTTCAGTCCAAGTTAAGTAACTCGGCAAGTAACGCGTAGTGAGTAGCCGGATTAACACTGCACGTATTTGCGAACGTAAGAAAAACATTTGAAAGTAGATTGTATCATTGAACGGAGGTCATTTTGAACCAGTAAGTTCGTTAATTTTAAGAAATTTGATTTTTTTGTTATTGGTATTTCTAAAAAATAATTTAATTAAAATATCTACAAAGTTATTTCATAAATAAAAAAAAGATTATATAGTTGTATAGATGATTCTATTACTTGGTCACACTTGCTGGCTTCAGGGGATCGGATTTCTTTGTATGAATTTTATGTGACAATTCGTCCTCTTGCCAATAAAAGTAGATGTATTTTTTACATTTTGAAAAACTTCTTTGCTTCTGAGTTTTTGGAGGGTCAAATAGTTAGCGGGAAATACCCCCAAATACTTTGGTGAGTCTATGTTTCAATAATTATCCCACAAGAAGAGTTACTGACTTTTATGAAACTAGAACAAATTACAGTCACACTATATGTATAAAGGTTTAATTGAATTTAACACCCTCCCATATAGAATAAAAACTAAAAATAACATTAGACCGCTTATAAAAATGATATTGAACCATATCAAACAAAGATATTTCAGATCAATCTTTTTTATATTTCTGTTTGTGAATTTTTATTTTATATTTTTTATATCGATGGCTTAATTCTAATAAGGGGGCGTCCATTAATTACGTGAGGTGTTCAAGGGGGGGAGGGGATAAAACTAAATCTTTCTAAATCTCACTTGGGGGGGAGGGGGGGGGGGTTTTCGTAAATCTCACGTAATTTTTTTTCTGGTAGAAAACGGTGTAAAATTGCGTAAAAGTATAGTTAAATTATAGTAAAAGTATTTCTAGAATAAAATATGGAAAAATCTTATAATTATGTTTATTTTTTTATTAATTTCCATTTAAGTATTTATCATTTAATTTTATTAATGTGATTTTAAATAATTGCAACACTCTCAAACACTAGTCTTTGCTAGTCTTAAATAAAAGTAATGGAACATATTGTGTTTTGTTTTTTTTTTAATAATCCAACACATTTACACCCAAAACACGAATTTTGAAAAATCTCACGTGAGATTAGGGAAGGGGGGGAGGGAGTTAAGGAAAATCTTACCAAATCTCGCCAGGGGGGGAGGGGGAGTCAAAAAATCCTCAAAAATACCTCACGTAATTAATGGACGCCCCCTAACTCGTAACCCACAAAGAGTAAATTTTACAGTAAAGGCAAAAAACTATCTCCTGACACACGTATCGTGCGGGTTAGGACTTGTTAGAAATTGCGGGAATCAACTAGAAATAATTTGAGTAAACGTAGAAACGTGAATTCGTAAAAATTGTGTGTTACGACTTGTTAGAACTAAGCCATCCATATTATATTTATAATTAAAATATAATGTACTTAATAGATGTTCAACAACATTTATAAAAGGTAAAATTGTATATACCGTATCTGCTATCGACCGTTTTCCAAAACGGTTTGCATAAGTGCGTGTGAAAACTATAGAGAGTTAGCATTAGAGCGAGGAGGAAACGAATAATATCGGCGATGCCAGTTTATACGGCCCAGCCAACGTTACAATGCAGTCGGGTCGTATAAACTGGCAACGCTGATATTATTTGTTTCGCTCGCTTTAATTATCTCTGTAGTTTTCACATGCACTTGTGCAAAACGAATTGGAAAACGTTCAATGGCCGACACTGTATATTAGGATTCCCTATTTAATAAAGTTTATTTTATTCCAGACCCGGTCTAAAGCTGAATTCGCCCTCGACAGTAATGATGCATTTCCAGCCTCGGTATGTACCACTATTAACTTGTACTTCGAAAATTATGTCGTTTAATATTTTTGTCGAAAAAAAAAAACCGGTTATACTGTAAGGTTTGGACATTTCCGATTTTTAACAATTTCACTGAACAAATCTAAGGCACACCCTGTATTTCTTGGATTCCGACATACCTTACAAATAACCGGCTCACCGAAATCTAAGAAAGAACAAATTTTGTTTACTCAAGACCGTTTTCTAATCTCGTATGTTTGATATAGGGCTTTATCTATTCCGGTAGAGCCGGCCATGGGGGGATATTATGTATTAAAAAAGTGTAACTTAGCTTTAGCTATCACATTTACCGAAGTGATAAGAGACCACGTAAAGAGCAAATAAATACCACCGAAACTATTTTCCAGTCGTTTCTTTTTGTGCGTCAGTAGTCTACCGCGTGTTTCTTTTAAATTGCGTCGAAAAGACATTGTTAAACTTTTTTAGGTAAGCAGTTGTTTTATTTTTGTTTTCAAAGATTTTAATAATAGGTATCGGAATTTTCTTGCAATAATAATTGTAACACTACTTACATCGGAAAAAGAGGTAGAAAGTTAAAATACCTCATACCTGATCGACTTTAGGTTATATCAATTTCAATAGTCACTAGTTTATCCTTCTGAGAATTCTACAACTCTTTTATTATGTTTTTAATATTTTTCAAATGCAATTTTGTAAATTAGAGAAGATTCTCTGAAATTTCACCTGCAGATTCAACTAAATATTAAGTTTCCTCCACTTATTAAAAATACAGGCAATGTTTGATCAGGAGTTACCTAAATATCTCATTTTTCATATTTCTATATTCCCTCTCTTGGAGCGCAATAGTACCCAACATCGACCGAAGTGATAATTTTTACAATATTAGAAATATTTTTAATCTTCTTTTCAAGAATTGATATTTAATAATATTTAGAAAAAGAAAATACAACAAAAAAAATACCAACACAATTTAAATAGTTATTAGGATATTAAATATTAAATTAATAATAATAAGTTGCGGTCAAATTTTGTTGTTTTCCCTCGTCTTGAGCTTTGTGATTTTGAGCCATCTTAATAAATTTCCTGCTGACATTCATATATCGATTTTTTGGAATATACGAATTGGGATATTTGGTTAGGTCTTTGAAGGACTTTTAAATTAATAAGTCAAATACCAAAACTGAATTATATTTTTATTTTTTTTTTATAATAATCATTATTATTTTAATATTACTTAAATTTTCATCTTGTTTTCCATATAAACTTTGAACTTATATTCCTTTTTATTCATCAACTTTTATAATCAATTCGTAATTTTTAAAATAGCAATTCAAAATATTTTAAAATTTCAATTTTTTTCATGAAGTTGGCTAACATCTTGACAGCTTGTCAGCTGTCATTGTCAGACATCTTAACCTGTAAATTGCCGCGTTTTTGCAGACATTCAAATTTTTTAAATTATAAGCTTTTTGTCTGAACATTTTTAGATATTGTGTTTGTCGGTTACTTTTTTTAATACATTGTATCTTTTACATTAAAATTTAACGAGTGAGTTTATAAGTAAAAATTGTATTAGTTTTTAAAATTATTGTTCCTATATTATAGTGTTCTGATGATGGCTTAATAGCCGACAAATAAATACAAATTTTACACACTTTTAAATACTTCCTTCTTTACCTATGTACCTAAAACTTTCAAATTTTTATTTGTTAGGAGAATATAATACTTTATTTGAATAGGGATATCTACATAAAAGAATAAAAAACCATAAAAATAATATCGCAACTAATAATGAAAATTCCATTGCCTTAACTAAACATACGTTAGAAAATATGCACTCTTTCGATTTTGAAAATGTAAGAATTCTCGAAAATAAACCAAATCTCAACAAAAAGAACAATCCTTGAGATGATACATATTAAAAAATTTGTAAATAAAAATAAGAGACATAATAAAAGAGAAAAGATTTATAAACGTTTATTTTAATATTATTAAGTAATTGTAAGCTTTTTAATCCTTAATTGTAACGCCACTGGTAATTTTTAACTTTGTTTCTCTAACCGTCACACTTTGTGAAACAAAGTTGGGATTTCTCTTATTTTAAAAATTTTAAACTGTGATCGTTCCCCATGTTCTATAAAATTTTGATTTCACCAGAAGATGAAAAAAATTCGAAACATATGTAGTGCTTGTGCTTAAATAATAGAAAGTAAAAACATGACCGATTAAACCAAGGAAATTTTTATTTATATAAAATAATACTTTATGTATCCAAATTTTTATTACAAGACTACATGCATAACCTTGTTCTTCTGTTCGTACCTTTAAAATGTCGATGATGTATCTTGATAATTTTCTATTTTGAATGAAATTACTTCAGTTATTTCTACTTTACGACATTTCCCTATTTTCTATCTACGACTACCCTGTTTAAGTTCCTAAGTTTTCGGTTAGATGGGGGTAAAATTTTCCTATCTCGAGAAACAATAATATTTTTTTATAAATTCATTGTTACTAGTCGGCAGTATTTCAATTTCTTAAAACTAAAGTACTTAACTAAGAACAAAAGGGTACCCATCTTCTCAAATGTGGTCAATGTAGTAACAAAATAATAAATAAAATCATATACCACATAAAATTTTTTAATATATAAGTGAAACGGCAACCGGTTTCGGTTAATTCGCCATCATCAGGCCTACAAACAAAACATGGTCTTCAATAGACGCTTATAACAGTAAAGGACAAAAGCTTACCTTATAAATATGTATGTTTTAAAGAAGAAAATTTGAAAATTACATTAAAACAACTCGACTTCGAGGGTAAGAATAGGAGGGAGGTATATGAAGGGGAAATGAAAAAATTAAATGAGAATAGGGATCAAGGTAGGGAGTGTAGACTTCTAATCCTCGCAAAGGAGTACTGAGCTAGTAAAGAAGAAGAGTAGGTAGCTTTTACAACGACCAAAGCGGTACAACGTACAACTGCGGACGATAAGACACCCTAGGCAAGTAGAAAGGAAACGGTATAGATTTGAGGAGCTGATCAGTTTAGGTGGAACAGGTCACACTGCGAGTAAAAATACCGGCAGCCAGGGATAAAGTAGGCTATAACTAGACTCTTAAAATTCCTACCTAAACGTTAATAATAATAATAATAATAATAATAATATACTTTATTGTCAGAGAGAATACATGATTCCATGGACAAAGTTTAATACTAATGGTATAATAAAACAAATAGATATCAACGTTCACGTTATTAAAAAATATTAAAATTGATTACAATAATAAAAAAAAAAAATATATATATATAAACAAATCCACAGAAAAAAATGCCTAATTTTAAAATTCGTCATTATAAAACTCCAACAGATTGTAATATGGTTTTCCTATTAATATATTTTTTATAGTATTCCTAAATAATGATGGAGATCTAATTGATTTTAAGGCATCCGGTAGATGATTAAATATTTTAGGACTTTCATAGATTATTGAATTCTTAATTAGAGATGAATGTGGAATCGGAAGTAATAAGTTATTATTTTGTCTAGTGTTGTAATGTCTCGACTGGGTAGGTAGATTTAAAATTTGTTTGTGTATCATACAAACAGTCTCTAGAATAAATAAACTAGTTAAAGTCAATATTTTATACTTGATAAATAAAGGTTTGCAATGATCTCGGTAATCAGATTTGGCTAGGAATCTTATAGCTCTTTTTTGTAAAATAAATACCGAGTTAAGGAGATATTGTGAGCAGTTTCCCCTGAATACAATACCATACCTTAAATGAGTGTCTATTAGTGAAAAGTACACATTTCTTGCTGACAAACTTCCCAGCTCTTTAGCAATAACCCTAACTGCAAAGCACCCGGATGCCAGTTTTTTGTTTAAGATTGCAACATGTTCATCAAACTTTAGTTGGTTATCGATGTAAAGGCCTAAAAATCTGGAGCAGGGTGTATTTATAATCAACTGTTCGCCAAGACGAAGTTGATCATATGCAAATTTAAAAGTTAATATGTTTGTTTTGTTTGTGTTAAGACTTAAAAAATTGGAGTCACACCAGTTTTTGATTACGTGTAGGTCATGTGACACAGTATGTTTTAGAGTATCCGTATCCCTTCCATGCCAGAGGAGAGTTGTATCATCAGCGAACAACGTTCAATAACGGTTTACAACTAAGACAATCCCATTGGTCTCTTGTACTATAAAATAAACACACAATTTTGGCATGTTTCACTATGTTCTGCTCTAAAACTATTACACAAAAACTACACGATCTCAAAAGGTTTAATGCTTTCTAGTCTTCATTTTGATCTTGTCTTACTTAGGATCTGTAGGATATCAATATTATCATGTGGAGTCTTTTTTCCTGATTCCCTGCAAATCTCTTGATCTCTTTTTTGACTATCGCTATATTCAAATCTCTGTGAAGGTGATCATTTTTGTAATACCATGGTGCGTCCACAATGCCTCGGAGTATTTTGTTCTGAAATATTTAAATTTTGTTTATATTGCTCTTTGCTGCCCTACGCCAGAGTTCCATGAAGCCAGACTGGTTTTAGAATCTATTTATACAGCAAATTTATTACGCATATAAAGTTTTGATTATCGTCACAATAGCCAATGATTTGTTTTTATATTTTAAGTAAAGTTCTTTTCTGTTTTTCTTTATATAAGTTCTTTTCATTTTATTTGAACATTCAGAATCATTCTCAAGTATTTTATGAACGATGATTTGATCTAATTTATTCTTGTTTACCACGTCTTATTCCATTTATATGCTTTTCGTTGTCATGTCCCACTGCTAAGATAGCTGTATCGTCACCTTAGGTAGCGATAGTTACATGTTTGGTTTGCGGTATATCACAAGTGTACAACGGCAAATCACTAGTCCTAGCACCTTACATTGTAGTACACCTTCGTTAGTATCTTTTAATATAAAATATGATTCCTCCTGTTTAATTTGGAATATATTTGACCAGTATATATCAAATT